GCGAATCTCAGGTTCAGAGAGGTGGACATGGCGTGCATTCCTGCCGTTCCTCAACCGCGCAATTATATCATCCAGAACGCCACCCTCTATCGCCTGCCCATTTTCACCCATTTCAACAAACTAAAGAACCCGCCGGCCAGTAACCAGAAAGCCCACCCGGCCGGATTCCCAGCCTCAAGATTATTGTTGATACGCAACTAGCGAGAAAGGGAGGATATGAAGACGGTGTGAGTGTATATATATATACAGGTGGAGCTGGGCAGTAGGGCTTCACCCCAGTGGGAAATTACTAGGAAAGTTAAGAGGTAGAAGGAGAAGGGGTGGCTGAAACTCCGATGTGGCGGAAATGACTATAGTATATATATATCGTCTTGTACACAACGACGACGGAGTATATTTTTGTGAACTGTGAGGGGTTTTTGGTTTACGTTGGGATCATGGATGAATTCTGAATAGATCACACATTAATTTAATTTATATCTTAAATTTATGAGAAACCTCACAACTATTATCTAAATGTGCTCTTTGATAAAATCGCTTAGATTGCTCATAGTTAAACTGTCCAAATCAAAAAGGTAATAAACAAAGTTTTCATGAAAAATTAAATTTAGAATTTTGTGGTTACAAAACAAATTGTACCTCCTACCAACTTACAATTGGTATTATTAAGAAAAATAAAGATTCAAATTAGCCATCGAATTACCGTAAAAGTACAATTAGATCATCTAATTCAAAAAAATTGCAATTTAGTCCTTAAAATATTTAAAATTATGCAAGATCAATTTGACATATTCATCATGTGATCGCTAACATAGCGGTCATCCTAAAAAAATTATTATTTTCTAATTTATTTTAAAAATTTTAAACAAAATGAAAATAAAAATAATAAAAAAAATAATAAAAAATAAGAAAAACCACCCCCAGCCAGTCTTCATCATTCAAGTAAATTTTGATATAATAATTTTTTTAATACAATGACCGCCATGTAAGCGATGACCTGAAAAACAAGTTAAATTTGATCAAATTGTATAATTTTGAACTGTTCAATGACTTAATTATACTTTTTGTAATTAAATGACTTAATTACACTTTTGCGTATAATTTGATGCTTAATTTAAACATTTTTCCAAAAATTATTAATTTAAACATTTTTCCAAAAATTATTAGTACAAATAATGTGGACCAGCAAGACGAGCTAGCATTTGGTGAGCCTAAAAATGTTAATCACATAAAGAACTATGTTTCCCATGAGTATATAAGAACTCATCTTGTCCTTTTAATTCATTTTGAGTTGATAGTGGAGATTTTTCCTATTTTTATTCTTTCTTATTTATGGGTTGTGAGATTGTAATTTTGGGTGCCATTTATTTTGATTTTTTTTCTAGAACATTTAATTTTAAGAATTATCATATTGTTCTCACATATGCTCAATCATTGCATCACGAAGCGCATAATGCGCTTCTTCATCTTTGATTTGCCTATGTCGAGCAAAAAAATCTTGAAATAGAGTACTCTCATCTCTACCTATATCAACCTCAAGAGTTGGCGCTTCTCTCCAACTTTGTATATCTTCTTGCTCATCACATTCATCCTCAATGATCATATTGTGCATTATTATGCGTGATGACATTATATCATGCAATGCATGTTTATCCCAAAAACATACCAGTCCCTTGACTATTGCAAATTGTGATTGGAGGACTCCAAATGCACATTCTACCTCTTGTCTACATGCTTCTTGCATTATTGCAAATAACTTTTTCTTTGGTCATCGGGCTGATGAATAGTTTGTACCAAGGTTGACCATTTCGGATATATATCATCAGCTAAATAATATCTTGTATTGTATTATTTTCCTTGAATAACATAATGAGCAGGAGGTGTCGTACCATTTGCAATGTTTGCAAACAAATGAGATGTCTCCAACACATTAATATCATTATTCGACCCTGACAAACCAAAATGTGCATGCCAAATCCACAAATCATAATCAGCTACGGCTTCGAGAATAATAGTTGGTTCTCAACTACACCAACAATGTTTTCCGGCACAAACTGTTGGACATTTTCCAAGTCCAGTGCATGCAATCTAAACTCCCAAGCATCCCTGAAAAGTCATGTCTCTCACCAATTTCAAGCAACCTTGCAACATCATTAGCATCAGGCGCACTTAGATAGCGTTGTCCAAAGACCTCCTCTACTACTTGACAGAATCTCTTCAAACTTTCAATTGCTGTTGATTCCCCAATTTGAATGTATTCATATGTTGCATCTGTCGTTACTCCATAAGCCAAAATTCGAAATGTTGCTGTTACTTTTTGTAAAGTAGACAAGCCTAGTTTACCGATTTTATCTCTCCGTTGCACAAAGTCGTTGTCTTGATTTGCAATTCATAATAAGAACAAATTTCGACTCATTCAAAATCATCTACGAAATATTTCCTCATTATATTTTGGATTTCTGATCTAAAAAATAATCAGCATGTAATCTTCGATTTAGGTTGATGGCTTGAATAGACATAATCTCCAAACAGTAAGCCATATCAGCGTTGTTGCCAGCATAGTGGTGCTTGTTGTTGTAATTGTATTGTAGCAATGAGATCATCGTCATCCTCTTGCGAGGATGAGGATGGGTTTCGGGGTGAGGATGAAAAGGGGTGTGGAGGATTCATATCTCAGGATTGCTATGGTGAATGGATGAAAGATAAGTTTGTATGTCATGTACTTATATATCTGATATGATATCTTTTCCAAATCCCAAAGACAATTTCTTTCAACCGTTGGATTAGATCACAAGCATCTTAGCTCTTAATTGGTATGCATATATTTTCAACACACAATCCAATATTTGATATGATATCTTTTCCAAATCTCAAAGATAATTGATTTCAACCATTTGATTAGATCACAAGCATCTTAGCCCTTTATTGGTATGAATATCTTTCCAACATACAATCCAATATCTAATATGATATCTTTTGCAAATCCCAAAGACAATTGCTTTCAACTGTTGGATTAGATCACAAGCATCTTAGCCGTTAATCGGTATGCATATCTTTCCAACACACAATTCAATATATGATATGATATCTTTTCCAAATCTCAAAGACAATTGTTTCAATTGTTTGATTAGATCTTAATCATCTTAGCCCTTTATTAGTATGAATATCTTTCCAACACACAATCCAATATCTGATATGATATCTTTTCCAAATCCAAAACACAATTGCTTTCAAGTGTTGGATTAGATCACAAGCATCTTAGCCCTTAATTGGTATTCATATCTTTCCAACACACAATCTAATATCTGATATGATATCTTTTCTAAATCTCAAAGACAATTGCTTTCAACCGTTTGATTAGATCACAAACATCTTAGCCCTTTATTGATATGAATATCTTTCCAATGCACAATCCAATATCTTATATGATATCTTTTCCAAATCCCAAAGACAATTGCTTTCAACTGTTTGATTAGATCACAAGCATCTTTGCCCTTAATTTGTATGCATATCTTTCCAAAACACAATCCATGAATATATGATATCTTTTCCAGACCCCAAAGACAATTGCTTTCAACCGTTGCATTAGATCACAATCATCTTAGCCCTTAATTGGTATGCATATCTTTCCAACACACAATCCAATATCTTATATGATATCTTTCTCAAATATTGAAGATATTTGCTTTCACTCTATATATATAACAGTACACTACCAGGACTATGTGGTCCAATGGTACCCGGGTTGGACTTCCATTTGGAAGGTTGTAAGTTCGAGCCTCAGTGGAGGCGTTATTAGCTCTTTGTGTTTCAGTAGGTTGAGAAAGTATATGAACAGATACTACAATGTAATAGAGCTAGTAGCATTCAAAAAAAATATAACAGTACACTACCTCTAAATCAGAAACCACAACTCTTTGAATTATCGCTCCCTCTCTTAACAATTCAAATAACTCTTTGTATTGTAAATTCCTCTCTATTCTCTTTGAAAAAAATGTCCAAGATACACACAATCCGAGCAACTTCATACTCCATTGAAGAAGATCAAGTCCTTTGTCGTGTGTATGCTGATATTTCCCAAGATAAAGTTAAGAGTAATTACCAATATGGGGAAGTATTTTAGACTCTTGTTATGAATGACTATCATGAAGTGCTACTAGCCATGGTTGCAGTAAGCGCTAGAGTAGCGCCTATGCGACTTACTAAAAAAAACAGAGCACATATGTGAGTGTATATATGTCACACACACACACACATATGCACTTTTCGAAACACACGCACACACACATGCACTTTTCGAAACACACACACACACACATATATGCACTTTTCGAAACACACACACACACATATTTATGCACTTTTCGAAATGGGGGTGGGATGCACTAAAATCGCGAGTTGATGTGTTTAATTGCACGTTTTGAAAGTTTATGGGTCTAATTGACGTTTTTGTGAAAAATTCAAGAGCTTATTTACCCCTTTTTCCGACTTAATTAGGAAAAAAAAAAATTGTCAATGACCAAATTGATAATTTTGTTATAATCAAAGAACCATTTCGATAATTAACTCTTATCTAATTCTAACACCAACAATGTGAAATAAAGATTTGTAATGATACTAACAAGACCATGCAGAATTGCAGACTGTGTACCAAATAATACCAATTGATACGTAATATGTTAATTGGCAGACACTATGTAATATGTCAACTGCAAATACATAATCTAAATGTTATTTTGAACCAAGATTCACAATATAAGGTAAATCTTGATCCATGGTGTAATTTGCCACTATGTACTCATCCTGGAAGAAAGGGCACACAATATAATCAAGTTAAAGCTATAATCAATCAGCCTGCCCCTATTAAACTAGTAATGCACCAACATGAAAGCACATGAAACTGTAAAAGAATTGGTAAATCTAATGTTTTCTGATCCAATCTTAAGATGTCCTCTCCAGCAATAGGGAAATGATTTCAAAAGCAAGTATAGGCAAAAAGATGAAGAGAATTCTAGCTGGAATAAAACCAGATATGATTAAAATTGCTACACCTGCTTCCCTGCAGTATATATCAGAGTATATCTGTGATCAAAAACAGCAACACTGCCAGTATCAGTGGCTTCCCTTCACAAAAAATAAATAAGTGTACGATATGAGAGTAGATTCACCTAAACCACTAAACAATTAACATTCACAATCTTACTTTCTTGTACCAATAAGGTAAAGAAAGTATTCTACATGCCTCTCTTGCTCTGGATGAAGAAAGAGGGGAAAAACAATAAGTTTAAGCCAGCTACCGTTTGTGTTTGTTTCCCTCCTGAAATTCAGCTTAGGAAGAGCAACAGCCCCCTTTTGCATTTGCTGCGGAATCACCAACATTGATGGTGGTACCCTTACCAGGAAGGGTGTTTGCTGCTGCTTCCTGGGCAGCCAGTGCCTTCTTGCTTACAATATGGTAGATTTCTGACAAAATAGTCTGAAAAGCCTTTTCTACATTAAGCGCTTCCAATGCTGATGTCTCCAGAAATGACAATCCTTCCTTCTCAGCCAAAGTTTGACCATCCTGCTCGGAGACTGCTCTGAGGTGGTTGAGATCAGACTTGTTCCCAGCCATCATAATGACAATGTTAGAGTCTGCATGGTCTCTCAGTTCTCGGAGCCACCTTAAGACATTGTCAAAGGTTTGCCTCTTTGTTATGTCATATACAAGCAGTGCTCCGACAGCCCCTCTGTAGTAAGCACTAGTAATAGCTCGGTACCTTTCCTGGCCGGCAGTGTCCCAAATCTGGGCCTTGACAGTCTTTCCTTCCACCTGTAACATAAAAACAGGTAATTATAGTATTAGTGTTTCTGAAAGAATCAATACTTCTGTGTCCTCTAACAAAGAAGCATCACAAGAGAAAAAGGAAGAAGATCCTATTGCTGTCAGAAATAAATAACTTCCACTATTCCTGCATTGTAAGTGACAAGACAAATTTGTCCAAAACACAAACTTTAAACAATTGATAAGAGGCAAATTCTTTAAAACTGAAAGTTAGTACGTGAGCCACAATATTTATTTCCCCATTAGAACCTATTTCTTTCTTACCAAAGCACGCAATAAAATGCTAGTTTAAGGCTAATCATGGTTTTCAAAGGTCAAGGTGGTCCTAAGACTAAAGCATCCCAAGCTCTTCCATGCAGTAACTACTAACCAAATTAGTGAAAGTGCAGACTAATCAATTGTAAAGAAAAGACACTGTCAACAGGATAATACACAGCCTAACATGAAAATGATCTTAAGAACGGAGATAAATGGATATGCAATGCATCCAATGAAGTACTAATAAACTAGAAAAATCCACAAAACTTCAAGAAAAAACAAATGTGGACTTGAGGACAGATGCACCACCTAACAACAACCAAACTATTGCTCTTCCACACCACAAAAACAAACTACAAGACATCAAAGGACATAGAAATCATCTTCACAATAACAAACAACTTATATGCTAGCACTAATCTGATTATGTGCATCTTTTCCTTCCATATGAGCATTCACTGGATACCCATTCCATAGGTTTTGAACTAAACAATAATCTCCATCCTCTTCAGAATTAATCATGATATAAACAGCTTCGATCAGCATTCACAGACACAAATAAACCAATTCTTAGCTCATTCATTTCAGTAATTCTGCTTTGACTATTTCTCTTCAAAAGATTGAAAAGAATCTCATCAAGCGCTCAGACAAAAAGAAACCAAATACGCTAAAAAAGAAAAAGAGAGAGAGAGAGAGAGAGAGATCGAAAAACGCACCTGAAGAGTTCGGGTGGCGAACTCGACTCCGATAGTGGATTTGGACTCCAAGCAGAACTCATTTCGGGTAAACCTGGACAGAATGTTGGATTTCCCGACTCCAGAGTCTCCGATCAATACGATCTTAAACAGATAATCATATTCGTGGTCCACTCTCTTCGCCATCCCCAACTACAATCCTATAAATCTATTTATTCGCGCTCTCTTCTCCTCCACCACCACCTTTCACACACAAAACAATATCAACACAACGGGAACCGATCTACTCAAATTTGCCAAATCAAAACCCTAGCACAGAATCCTCGAAACCGCATTCACACACAACCAACAATCTCTCAAAAACATCGAGATATACAAGCAGCAAATTCAAAAGCCGTGCATAATTCATAAAAAAAATAAAAATAATAATAATTTAAAAAAAGCATGAAAAGCTTACCGGAAAGTAGAGATCGGAAACGGAGAAACGGTGTACGAAAAATGCGAGGATGGAGGAGGAGAAGAAGATGAAACGGCCAATCGCGGACGGTCGATACAGATAAGCTACCGCGTAATCTGTACTCTGTTATTATTACTGCTCAGATTATTGCAATATATATTCTCTGTTTCTATAATCTAATTTTATTTTATCATTTATTTTTTTTTTTTTTTGGGGAAGGGCGAGGGGGGTGGGGGTTGGATTTATTATGGAAACAGCGGCAAAAGATTGGTAACGTAGAGAATCCCGATTTAAATATTGGAGGAATTCTGAAATTTCGGTGCTTTGGTGTTGCCGACAGCGACGTCGTTTAGAAAATGTTGACAAACGGTTATGCGCAAGCTCTGGGTTGGCGGGCAGACTGGGAGAGGACACCCTACACCTACTGCCAAACATTGAATCACAATGATTCCATAACCGTACATACAAATATATTTTTTTTGGCAAAAATTTGTTTGTGATTGTATCGCGGATGGTCAGTTTAATATCAACTGTAATACTTATACTAGTATTATTAAATTAAGAATAAAAAAAATTTATTACTTATATGAGAAAATGTAATACTTTTGATGAAAAATGTATTCGGTAATACTTTTTGATGTAAAAGTACTACATTTTTCATCAAAAGTATTACATTTTCTTTTATATATGCAACATTACTTATAAAGAAAAATATAGTACTTTTGATGAAAATATAAGGGAGCGTTTGGTTTAGGTTATATTACATAACCAAGGGAATGTGACATTCCCGAACTTACGTTCCTATGTTTGGTTCATATTCTCTGAGGGAATATAATATTTCCAGGGAATGCAACATTCCCTCCACACATAGGATTTTTAAGAGAATGTGATTCCCTTCATTTTGTTAGGTAATGTAAGATAACTTTGGATATTTATAAATTTTGTCATTTTAATTCTAATTATTTAAAGATATATATATTTTATGTTAGCTTATTATTATTATTATTATTATTATTGTTATTATTATTATTGTTGTTGTTGTAAAAATTGAACTTGCAGCCCCTTTCGCAACTCGAGGAGATGCCCCGCTTGTTCAAGAGTTTAAGTAGCCCAGTTACTTTAGTTATATTATATATTTTTTATTACGTTATGTTATCATATAAAATAATTTTGTTTCTCAAGTTCAAGATTTTAGTTAATATTTTAAAATCATGTAATTATATATGATACCGGTATCTTATTTATTTAATTTAATTTTTAAATTTATTAAAATATATAAAAATATGTTAAGGATACTCTATATATATATATATATATATATATATATATATATATATATATGATAACCAAACACGGGAATCTAACATTCCAGTAATCTAACATTCCATGAACCAAACGGTCCCTAAAAGTATTACATTCGTCCTCAAAAGTATTACAATTTCCATTATAAGTAACAAACATTTTATTCCCGATTTAGTATTCATTTGCTAGTATAAGTATTACATTTGCATATTGACTCGACTCGACCGGACCCGTCTCATGGATAAAGATTCGTAAGACGGTCTCACACAAGTGTGACCCATAAATTTTTTATTGACATCGACCATGTTTGATAACATAGTTAATTTATTAGTCAATTTTGACTTATTTGACCATTATTAGCTGTTTGACTTAACAATCAATATAAGTATTTGATTAATTAACTTTCTGTAACAGTTTATTGCTCCAAAATGCTAAAATTCAAAAAACTGTTGAAAACAACTTTTTCGATAAGCTTTTTGAGAAAGTCATTTTGCATGTAGTCAGCCATCAGCTAACAACCAACTAATGCTATCAACTAGTCAAACCCACGAACACAATCAGCTAACACGCAACAACTATTTACGGAACACCACATCATATTTTCAAATTTCATCGACTAGCCATGAACCTCATAAATTAGCAATCATAATGCCTCATACCATGGTTCACCTTATAAATTTGACTACTAACATAAGGTTTATTTTTATATATATTGAATGTTCATCTTTAATACATTGAATGTACATTTTTATATATGTTGGAAGTTCATCATTATTTGATATACTACTAAATAATGAGCATTTAGTACATACAAAAAAAAAAAACATTCAATATATTAAAAATAAATATTTATCTATGAACTATATTACAATGTGTACTATGGTCCATGGTATAATTTGCATTGAACTAGTCTCTAGGTCCATGATGAGGTAAATTAAACATGTTTAGCATTGAGGTACATCCAAGTGTATACTTTTGTACACAAAGAGTTCAATCCCAACTCTAGTCCAACTCTAAATTATATATAGTAGGGTTCAAATCCTCATCCAACCGTTGAAAGCAAGAAAAATGTTATTTAAAAAAAAATAATAATAAACAGAACAGAGTATGATTGACTTAAAAAATGAGTTATAATTTTCTTTTTCTTTTTATAATGATTGTAGTAATGGAGTGTAGTACTACTGTAAAAATTTGTAATTATATACATATATATATAAAAAACATTTGAATTTGTCAATGATCTTGTGGTCTGGCACAAAGTAGTTTTCTCATATGAGAAGTTATAGGTTCGAGCCTTATACTGCATTGTAACAGAGTTAGTAGTACTCTAAAAAAAACATTTGAATTTAAATGTGATTCCTTATATATGCCTTTAAAAAGGCAAAAATTTTTATGAGATTGTCTCATAAGTTTTTATCTGTGTGATGGATTGGATTTTTCATAAATATTACATTTTTCATCATATGTATTATTGATGGATTGGATTTTTCATAAGTATTACATTTTTCATCATATGTATTATAGTTTCTCTCATAAGTAAACTCTTCAGCTCATAAATATTACATTTTGATTTAAACCTTAGCAGGGTGTTTGGTTGGAGGGAATTTAAATTTCATTCCCACTTAATTCCCACCTAATTTTAAAGGCCACTAAATTTCTTAGTTTGGTTTGAAGGAGTTGTAATTCCACGGAATTGCAATTCCCTCATTTTCATGGAATTAAAATCACATGTCCCCCTTGGAATTTTAATTCTTTGAATTTTAGGAAGAAAAAAAGATAATCAGACAAAATTACCCCTCCCTTTTTTTAAACTTAAAATTGATACCCACAACAACAAAAGGCATTTTGGACTTTATACCACTTATTCCCTTTCAATTCCCATGTATACCAAACATTGGAATTGAAATTCCAAGTAATTTTATTCCTATAAACCAAACATTGAAATTTAAATTCCAACTTTATTCCCAATAATTCATCTCCCATGGAATTGCAATTTCTTTCCCACGTAATTCCCTCCCTCCAACAAAACGCCCTGCTAGAAGTATTACATTTTCTCATAAGAATTACTACCAACCAAGGTCCCTCGAGTTTGGTGGTTTTGTCACATATAGTCCTAAACTTTTGTAATACCATACGTGATCCTCCGAGTTTTGAAATCTGGCTTGCTGTTGTCCTCCAGTTACTTTCTTCCGTCTACACCGTCTAAAGTAGGGATAGAATAGTAATTTTCCTTAAAACAAATTAAAACATTCTGACATTAAAAATCCCAAATTAGTGTATGAAATGTAAAAATCCAGACTCGCCGCTCTTCTCCAAAGGCGGCGCGGGACACCGCAGCTCCCCTCGGAAGCCCATGTCGATCTCCATCTTGACGAGCCCCTATTTGAGAATGACAGCAATTCACCTCACGATTGGACTGGATTAGTGAAGAGAGAAATTGCAACGACGCCGGTGGTTGATCGCTAGTCTCCAGTCGTGTAATCACTGAGGGGAGAATCGAGAATCCAGCACTGCGCAATTCTTCAAGACAGTGTCGAACGATCTTTTCATCAGTTTCTGGAGGCTCTGGGGGAGGGTCACCTATCACCATGATTGTCTAGGGAAGGCGGAGACGACCACCGGTTCAGGATACCGGTAAACCGACTGCCAGCGTCGGAAAAGAAAATCGAAGATGGATTGAGGAAAATCGTTGATTATTGCCAGGGAGGAAAGAGTATAGTTCCATTTATGGGCACTTCGTTGGTTGCAATCATATTACTGGGAGCCTAAAAAATGCGCTATTCAGAACGGTCAACCCACCAATCTTTATAAGGAAACAAGGGACAGATTAAATGAATTGGCTTATTGTTTGAAAGAAAAACAGACTGCCAGATATCTTTCACTCCATATGTGTATTCTGTCATTGTCCATTTCTCTGACCCTCACTGCCAGCCACCATCATCGGAAAGTCGTCGCCACAGGGTGTTGCTCCGGCACAACTCTGTTGTTGTGTTCGTCTATGAAACAGAGGTCGTCGGTGAGCCGTGTCACCGGAGTGTGTCTCTTTCTTCGCCATAGCAATTGTGGTCGCCTTCACTGCATTCGTCGACAAAGGAGACCGCTCCAAAATAGCGAGAGGAGTTTTTTTTTTTTTTTTTTTTTCTTTTGCTTTGTTTCTGCTCAGTCCACAATTAGAGTCATGTGTCGTCGCTTTCCCATGTCTACTTTGCGTGTGAACATGTCCATAAACATATATGTTTTTGTTTGTTTTGCCGTGTTGTCATCTGTGGGTGTATATATTCTATCCCTACTTTAGACGGCGTATACGGAAGAAAGTAACGGGAGGACAACAGCAGGTCAGATTTCGAAACTCGGATGACCACGGATGGTATTACGAAAGTTTAGGACTATATGTGGCAAAACTACCAAACTCGAGGGACCTTGGCTGGTATTTACTCTTTTTCTTAATAAATAATACATTTTCCCTTATAAGTAATAATTAATTTATTCATGATTAGTATCACACTTTTTTCTCATAAGTATTACATTTCCCTCGTAAGTAATAATCAATTAATTTATCTTGATTAATATTATCTTTTTTTTTTAAAGTTAATTCTATTTTTAGTCCTAAATTTATAGGTGACAGTCCACTTTCAGTCATTCTATATTAGAATATCTCCCTTGGTCCTAATATTATTGTGGTATAATCATTTTTGGTCATCCACTTTTAGTCGATCATTTTTTTTTTAATACAAAGTGGGTGATCCGCTATATTTTTATTTAAAAAAATCATAATTAAATACCTAAATGTCCTTGTATTTTACAGAATTTAAACGATTTTGTTGATGGAGGACCAAACATGGACATGCCACAATAATAATAGGACCAAAGGAGGATGTTCTGAAAAAAAAAAAAAAAAGAAGAAGAAGAAGCTAAAAGTGGATTGTCACCTAAAAATCTATGACAAAAATGAAATTTTACTCCTTTTTTTTTTTTCCTTAAATAACCTTTCAACCCTAAATATTCCATTTTGATTTAAAATTATTATATTTTTCTTCAAAAGTATCACACTTTCCCTCGACCCTCATAAGTAACAATTAGTTTATTTCTAATTAGTTTTACATTTTTCATCATAAGTATTACATTTCTATTCATATTTGACTCATCTCACGGTAAGAGATCCATAATATGGTCTACTCATAAAAAAAAAATTAATTTAATTAGATATATACACCATCGTTATACCATGGACCAAGGTTCACACTATTATGACTATATTAGTAGTCTTATATTAGGATTTTTTTATTGTAACCTTGTATACTCTGTATTCTTCTATTGTTAATGATAATCACAAATATCCCATCCTCATCTGGTATCAGTAGTTCAGGATTCTCCTATGGATAACGTTTCGCCCCTCATGACAGCTCTGTCGACGCTTCGTCGGAACGGACTGTCTTCGAAATGGTAGCTCTTATTGTGGCTAGCAATTCTTTGACGTCGGCTCATCAGTTCGTTTCGATTAAGCTGACTACTAGGAATTATTTATTTTGGCGTACCAAATTGATCCCTTTTCTCCGTGGCCAAGGATTACTTGTCTATGTCGATGGCTCCATTGCGTGGCGTCGGCAGTGGCGTCGACCTTAGCAGACGGTGGCGTACTTTCATTTCTCTGGGTATTAATCATAGGCAGTCGTGTGCCTATACCTATGAGCAAAATGGTCGGGTAGAGCATAGACATCGTCATATAGTTGAAACTGGTTTGACTTTGATGGCTCAGGTGTCTATCCCTTCGCGTTTTTGGGACTACGCGTTTGAGACCGTGGTATATTTAATCAATAAAATGCCTACTCGAGTCTTAGGGAATGAGAGCCCGCATTTTCAGCTTCATCGTTCTCATATGTCTTATTCATTCTTACGGGTTTTCGGTTGTTTGTGTTTTCCCTTGTTGTGTCCCTACAATCAAAATAAATTGTAGTTTCGGTCAACTTCGTGTGTTTTTCTAGATTATCCGGAGTCGTTCCGTGACTATCGTTGTTTGGACTTATCTACGTACTAACAAGGTGTTCATCAGTCGACATGTTCGATTTGATGAAACTGTTTATCCCTTTTCTTCTGTTTTGAGTGCACAGGATACTGCTTCTGAAATAATTGAGCCGTGGGGTGTGTCTTTGGTTTCTGTGCCCCCATGCACAATGATTCTGACAATGTGCAGTCTTGGGAGGCAGCGTTTTCAGCGTCGCACTATGGACCCTAGTTCATGTGTTTGTATTTTGTGTTATGACTTTTTGTGCCTTCTGTTATGAAATTATGTACTTTATGAGTATGAATTTTGTACCTAGAATTTATGTGTCTTGTGTTGTGAAATTGTGTGCTTATGAACAAAATTTATGTACCTAAATCAAATTTGAAAAATAAGTAAATATATAACATGTGTATGTGTCTTGTGTTATGATTTATTGTGTCTTGTGTTATGAAATTTTGTACCTTATGAGTATGAATTCTGTAACTCGTCATTTCAATCTAGCTGGGTCCATAGTGCTATGCTATGTGTTTTATGTTGTGATTTTTTGTGTTTTGTGTTACGCAATTTTGTACCTTACGAATATGAATTCTATATCTGTTGTTTCAATTCATGATCTATAATGCTATGTGGACCTTGATCCATCATATAAATTGCCATATATACATGAGTTTTTGACCTTGATATATATATATTGCAAACTTTTCTTATAGACATTTACGGGTGGTTTACTTCAAACATTGAAATCATATTAAAATACGTAATTTAGTAAAGCATTGTGAAATAGAGTGGCCGGGAACATGTATGATGTAACTATTGACAACGACTTTGTGGGATTAGCATGGTTTAATATAATTTTTGTTGCATGGCCAGTTCAATTGGTTGCATGGTGAAATTTATTTAAGGATTAAGTCTCACCAGTGTCAGTGGGAGACTAATTTCTCAAAATGAAGAGATTGACCAGTTGAGTCACCATGATTAATCTTAAGCTCCACAAACTTTGGGGGCGTTTGGGTGAGCGATTCCACCTTATGTCACAAGCATGGTTTAATTTAAGGTTTCATGAAACTTAAGGAGGTTAATTTCTACTGAAAGTGAAATGTTTTATTTTATGCTTTTCACACATTTATTTAGATATATTGTCGATTTGTCGTACGCTTATTATAGTTTATTGTTGATTGATTTAAAATGAAAGTAATTATATATTCATCCTATTAAGGAAAAAATGTCATTTGAGTCAATATTTTATTTGATGACATGACATATAAATATATAATAAGTAACACAATTCTTTATATTGATTGAGGTATGGAAATTAACAAAAAAAAAAAAAAATGCGGTGACATTTTTGTGACTATGATGGTGCATTTATAAATAATCAATGACACATTTTTGTGTACTATTATAGATTTTGGGTGCATTGTTAGTTATTTGTGGATGCAATATTAAACATTTCCAAATGCACTATTGTAATTATAGTAATGCACCATATTTTTCTTTAATTTCTAGCACTTGATTAACCTAAATAGACGAATGAGACTAATCCTTACATTTTACATAAAGCGTGTGTTTTTAAGTGCGTGTGTTTATATATATATATATATATATATATATATATATATATATATATATATATATATATATATATATATATATATATATATATATATATATGTATAGGGTCAGGTTGAGAACAGGTCTTCCCGTGCGGTTAGTGCGGCATACACCGTTAGGTATGCATAAATGGACAACACAATGTTCGAAAATACACCATTATGTGTGGTGTTTTTTTTTTTTTTTTTTTTTTTTTTTTTGGTGCATTTTTTGACATTTCATTCTGGTGTATTCTCAAACACTGTATGGTGCATTTATGCATACCTAATGGTGTATGCCGCACGGGAAGACCTGTTCTCACAGGAACCAATATATATATATATATATATATATATATATATATATATATATATATATATATATATATATATATATTGTTAAGACTTAGTCTGTTATTCGTTATTTTGTTCCAGTCTTATGGTTTAGGTGTAACTAGTTTAGCACATGCATGACATTACTAAAATTGAATTTCTTTGTTTTAAAGAGTCAATAACTTATACACGTATAATCATGTTACTGATTTGAAAAAAAAAAAAAAAAGAAAAAAGAATAGAAATCCTCAAATAAATGGTGGTGCATATGGTTTAAAATATTGTCCAGTTCCATGCTTGTGCCTGCACATGCCTAATATTTCCAACTTATGTTGACTTCTTGTGCCTCCCTTAGCACATGCCTATTATTTCCAACTTAAGTTGACTTTCTCTGTTTTTAGAGAACCTGAAAAGGAAACAATTCCAATTGTCCATACATCTATATACTTGACCATTTACTCTTTTTATTTTCTTCTTCCAAAAGGCTGAACTCCAACCCTAAGGGCCCCCCACACTCCGACCCGACAGAACATTTGGGAGGATGTAAATCATAATAACTCAACTGAACATGAACCACAGAGGCTAGACCGGTGCTCACTGCGCACAAGGAACCCCCCTCACTTTGAGAGGTAGCTCCCACCCTGCCGTTGGTGAGACTCGATCCCTGGTCATTCTTCCAAAGTACTCTTTTTATTTTCTTATTTTTAGAAAAAGATGAAGGGTGTTGGTTTTGTCACTCGGGTAGTCACTCCGCGGGCCAACATAAGCGATTGAATTAACAAAATATAAGTAATTTGAGAAGAAAGAAAAAGAAAACACAACAATTTTAACGTAGAAATCAAACCGTGAAAATCATGAGCCTTTTTGGGTGTGTCTAGCCAAATTTGACTATATTTTGTAGGTAATTTGGTTCAAATACAATTTATATAGAGCTCTCGGGCATGTGATATTTTGATAGAATTTTAGGGAGGAAGAGAGAGGTAATTTTGGGTAGATGTTGATGTAGTACAGTGCATGTTTTGATTCATGAGGAGCCAGAGAGAGTTGTAGAGATCACTCCTGGATGATTGAGGATGACATGGTTATATGAAGATTCAACCCTCCTTGTATTTTTTCCTCTTCTTTTGTAATAGAAGAATATGTGCTTTTACATTTCTCACTCTTGGAGCCGCTTATGCAGCGTTCCTAACCCACTCACCCGTTTCTTGCTGAACATATTCCCATACTCTCACCCATCTTTCAGGGCGGTTCTCACCTGCATATCATGTTTGATTGAATCCCTCAATCGTGTAATGTGCTAATTACTGCTAGATCCCCGCCTTGTTGCTACCTGACTACTTTCTAGAATTCTTTACCTTCGCAGCCGAACACCAGGCTGGTGCTCCCACAGAGGTCCACTCTAAAGGCCTCCAACCATTCTTTAATTTTGTCAAGAAATAATGCATGCATGCGAGGCCAAAAATTCTCCTTATTATACCAACATGCTTTGGAATGATAAATAATTTACCTTAGAGATCAAAGTTTGCTCAAGCGCTCCACATTTCCTCCAACTTTACCAGGTAGTGGCATACATGCAAGGGCACACCTGCAATGGCGAAATGTTCCTGGCAAATTGTTGGAGTTTACATTAAACTATGTGTAGGAGTGACTTCTCCTATAACTTTTGTCCCACATTTCTTTTACAAGGAACCTTTTCTTCCCTTTTATTCAACAACCCATTTAGAGCATTTGAATTATTATGGAAGGAAAAATAAGGGGGAACCCCACATATGTGGGCTACTGCCATTGTGCTATTATATCATGGGATTCAGAACACACTTTCGATTCATCTTCTCTTCGTCTGAGTAGTGTCTCGTACACGTCACAGAACGCAGCATATCTATGTTAACCAGTCGAAAGCTCGTACACGTCACAGAATGCAACATATCTATGTTAACCAGTCGAAAGCTCGTACACGTCACAGAATGCAACATATCTATGTTAACCAGTCGAAAGCTCGTACACGTCACAGAATGCAACATATCTATGTTAACCAGTCGAAAGCTCGTACACGTCATAGAATGCAACATATCTGTGTTAACCAGTCGAAAGCTTTGGTAGTGTCTCGTACACGTCACAGATTCTCTTTTCTTTTCTGTTGCCCAGCCCACAACAAAATAGCCGAAAGCTACGACATTTTTCTGCAATTTCCCAACAACTGGATGGAGACGTTGATGGCATATTGCTTCTCCGACAGGCACACAACTTTTAGTCACGGTGGAATTGACAGAGGCGCGTAACTTTTAGTCGCGTTCCACACAGATGATGTCAATGTTGATTTTGTGACCCAGGTAGTCACTCCGCGGGCCAACATAACCGATTGATGAATTAACAAAATATAAGTAATTGCAGAAGAAAGAAAGAAAGAGAAGATATGACAATTTTAACATGGAAACCGAACGATGAAAACCACGGACCTTTTTGGGCAGTGCCAAGCCAAATTTCACTATATTTTGTAGGTAATTTTGTTCAAATACAATTTTGTATAGAGCTCTCAGGCATGGGATATTTTGATAGAATTTTAGGGAGGAAGAGAGGTAATTTTGGGTAGATGTTGATGTAGTAGATGTTTTTATTCATGAGGAGCCAGAGAGAGTTGTAGAGATCACTCCTGGATGATTGAGGATGGCATGGTTATCTGAAGATTCAACCCTCCTTCTTGTCTTTTTTCCTCTTCTTTTGTAGTAGAAGAATAAATGGTGAGTAAACCTACAATAATGGGGTATTTATGGGTATTTAAATAGGATTTATGGGTAATTAATTGGTGGTTAATGGGATTTAACGTCTTAATTAATGAGATGGGAAGATTATGGAAGGATGATTTAGGGAGCTAAGGCTGATTGGTCACATCTCGAATGCTTATTATCGAGCTCAAGTGAGTACCATGCCTAACTGCTTGCTAGGTGGTACTGACCAAGTATCTATGCTGGGTATATATCCATCAAAGGGCACCTCGCAAAATTTAAGATATAATTGAAGTTTTCTTAGACAAAAGAATACCATGCCGATCTTTTAAAATAATATGCCGAAAGGGGAGACAAAGGGGACCAGTCCCCTAAGACCATTGATGAGATATTAGAAAAAGAAAAAATTACCCTAAAATGACATTAAACTAGTTATTTTTGATTTAATTTTTAACAGGGTTCACTTTTGATTTGTGTAAGTTAAAGTGAATTCGGATTCTTTTAAGTAAGATGTTTAATTTGACATATTATACACTCAAAATAGATAAAAATGGAGTTGGAAAACTTGGAAGTAACGTACTTTTGTTCAATATTGAAAAATGAATGTGAGTTCACACTAATATATATACAATTTCACTTTTTAAAAGGAGTTTAAATTGTATGATATATAAGTTATCCCGGGCACCCATGGTTACAAATCAAATCCCAAAATAATTCATTTATTCTCCCAATAATAATTTGTGAAAAATTCTCAACATGAGATTCTTTGGCTAAAAAAATCAGCAACATAGTTCTGTTATATTCTCTGAAGCAATGCACGATCATCTAAGCATTTGCTTGCAATCCTGCAAGCATCCAAAGAGTTATTTTACCATGAACCAAGGTCTACCTTACAAGGTGAACTCTAATTCTAGGGTCTACCTTACAAGGTGAACCTTAATTCTAAACGACGTATAAATTGTGGCTTTTAGAATATACATTGTGTTTCTAAGAGGGGGGGGGGGGGGGGGGGGGGGTGTATTCAATCATGACTTTCATAGAGTTTTAAAGACTTTAAAAATGTTGAAAAAAAATAGCTTAAAATGGCAAAAAATGACATGTTAAGTGGCTATTTTGTGGTACAATTATCAGTGGGGTTCACTTCCGAATTGAGTCGGGTCAAAGTGGATTCGGGTTCTTCGTAGTCAGACGAAGAGATTGATATATTGTACACTCAAAACGGATAATGGGTGAATGAGATATTGATTCTCAAAGTAGACCCATTAAGTTGGCAAAATGAAGGGAAAAAGTGAAGTTTTTGTCCCACATTGGTTTGGGAAGATGATTTGCCCCACTATTTATACAAGAACTCTTTTAAAATTTAACAAATTGTATAGTATAGAGGCTCTCTCTTGTGTGAGGGGAGTAAGGGGAGGGATTGCAAGGGATCAAATCCCAAAATGAATGTTGTTTAGAGATAGGCAGTCGATAAAAATCCTACACCAAACATGAGCCTATCTCTACATTTTTCTACAGAAAATAATAATCCTTATTTTAAAAAACTTTTATCAACTTTTTATTTTAAAAAGTCTATAGAAGTCATTGAAATTCTAAATTAAATACATCCTTACAAACTTTAAATGATTTCAATTCTTATCATTTATAATTTTCTTACAAAACATGTTATAATATATCATAAAATTCTTCTTATTATATAGTTCTTCACCCACATCAACATTCTCAACATTATTATTTTTATCCATAGTATGCTGAGACTTATATGCTAATTACTTATATATTATTAATAAGAATCAAAAAAAAAACATTCATTAGAAATTCATAACAATATTGAACACTAAAATTTATAGTAAAAGAATTGATCAAATAAAATATTTAAAAATATAATTACAAGTTGCATAAAATAAAAAAAATATTAATAATATATATATATATATATATATATATATATATATATATATATATAAAAATTATACTTAATATATTGCTAGGCATTAGACAAAAACTATTATTTAGAATAATAGTAATTTGAGGCTGCGAACAACAACAATGTGTTACTGTTTGCAGTCCTAAATTGTTGTTGTGAACAGTAGTTTGCTATTCATAGTAACCTGTTGTTAAAAAAAATATTTACGAATATAAACATAAAAAAAAAAGATTAAAAAAAATAAACAAGCAATAATGGAGTAAAAATAATATTATTTTAAATTTTTAGAAGAAGATTGTATAGTTTAGAAGAGAGAAAAAATTGGTAGAGTTTAGGTATGAAGAAAATATAGGATAACGAAGGGAAAAAAATAATTCTATTGAATTTAGATAGGTTTATAAAGTTTAAATAGGGAAAAAATAGAGTTTTAATAGAGAGAGAGAGAGAGAGAGAGAGAGAGAGAGAGAGAGAGAGAGAGAGAGAGAGAGAGAGAGAGAGAGAGAGAGAGAGAGAGAGAGAGAGAAAACATTCAGAGTTGGTAGAAAGAAAATTTTGAAATCTTGGGATTGATGGTTGGATTTTAACTATTTATATTTGAGAATGAAAAGTCTATAAAAGTCCTAAAATTAAAACTCTACAAAGTTCATAACTTTTTGAATACCGCATGACTTTTAAAGACTCTTTAAAAGTCTTAATCGAATACCACCCAACTTTTAAAGACTCTTTAAAAATCTTGATTGTTCAGACTTTTAAAGACTCCCTAAAAGTTTGAATTGAATACCTCCAAATTTTTAAAGTTCATAAAAGTCTTAAAAATTCTATGAAAGTCATTATAGAATACATCCCCTTAAGTTAAAACACAGAGAATTTGTGAATACAGTATTGTGTGACTGTAGTATTCGAAAGGAACTTGTGAATACAAAACAAAGTAATCAATTACTTATGTTAACATTGTGTGTTTGTGGTATACAAATCGTGAATTTTTAAAAGATAAATTATGTACATTTGGATCGGGGTCTACCTTGCAAGGTAGACTCGGATCCACCTTACAAGGTGGACCCGGGTCCACAGATAATTTGCCGCATCCAAAAGAGTAAGGGTGTGTTTGGTTCGCACATGGGAATCAGAATCAAAATGGATATCAAATACTTGGTAATGGTAATGGGTTTTGGTGAAAGTATTTAACATGTTTGGTAGTAGGGTGGAATGAGAATGATTAATAATAGTAGTGCTTGAGAATGAATAAGGGAATGAAACCCTTATTTTATTTGGGTATGTATTTTTTAATTTATGGGGTATTCGAAACTCATAATAGTGTTTCAAAAACCTATCAACCAAACAATAACAATCACTTTCATACCCATTCTTATGAGCAAAACCTATCAACCAAACACATCCTAAGTACAAGTAACAATTTTTATGAAAAATAAAAAAATGTTAACGGCCTATATAATTAATGGTATAAGTTAAACGGCTCAATATGCCTAATGACAACAATAATTGGTTATCTTTGTTAATTGATTAGTGTCATTTCTAGGTACTGTTTGTGAATGGACAACATAGCTGGATCTAGGTAGGATTTATATAATGTCAATTCGATGTAGTACGTATTACAGCAAACTTGATAGTGGTTAGTTTCATTCTATAGGGATAGCTTTATTAGAATTAATGATGATGGTCGGCTTGAATTTTCTAATAAAGGAGTGCTATCAAGTTCGAGTTTCGGATATCTAATAAGGAACAACTCTATATTCATTAGAATTAATGATTTGATGATGATGGTGGGCTTGAATTTTCTAAAGAAAAATTAGTTAAAATGGTATTTAAATGATTATTTTGATGCAATATTTTGAGTGATGTTCAGTTTTAATTTGAGTAGGGTCAAATTAAATTTGTGTTCTTTTAAGTGAGATATTTAATTTGATATATTATATATTTAAAACAGATAATTGATAAATAATAAATTGATTCTAAAAATGTATCATTGAATTAGAAAAATAGAGTTTGAAAAGACTTTTAAATAACATTTACCTCATATTCAGAAAGCATGTGAGTTGTATTAGTATAAATACAATTATAATTTTTAAAAAGTTTAAATTGTGTAACATATAAATTCTCTCTCTCTCTCTTTGCAAGGGAGGGAGGGGTTAAAATCAAATTTCAAAAAATCTTGAGTCTAACTACGTTAAATCTTTGCCCGAAAATTGACAACACAGACAAATCAAGATTTTACCAAATTGGTTTGGCAAGTGACCTATGAGCTAAGTTATGATCTTCCAAAATAGTAGTCTCTACAGTTGTGTAACCTCTTCCGTTTTGCGATTTGTTAAAATTTACTGGGGTGATTAAATTCTTATAAGTGTTAGGAGTTATAATTTTTAACTCCGATTTTAAAACTAAAAGTATAATATGTAACGGTTGTAACCTCAAGTGTTATTTCAAATTTAAGTGTGGGTTATAGTTTTGAATTTTAAATTAAAATTTTGAATGTCATTAGTGCTAATTTTTTGCAACACTGAAAAACTCTCTTTTATCTTTCTCTTTCGTACTACTGTTTAAACACTCTCTAAATTTTGCATTCACTCTTCCTAAAATAAAGAGTGTTCTGCCTTTGTTCTAGTTTGCTAAATAGTATATTTGAGTGTTCGAATTAGGGATGACAATTTCAATCCGCCCTATGGATATTCACCTGAATCCACCCCGCATGGATCGAATTTTTTTAGGGGGTAGTGGGTGGTGGGTCGGGGTGGGTCTTTAAAACATAAACCCGCTGTGGGTCGGGTTGAATTCGGGTTCTATGTACAAAACCCGCCTAGAACCCCACCCGACCCACCATGTAGTATTTATAAAAGTTTTTATAACTTCATGTAAATTTTTACTATTTTTATATCTAAAATACTAAGTTTATTTTTTAAAATTAACAGTTTAGTTATTATATTTAAATATTTTTATTATTTTATGTTTTATATAACTAATGAATTTTATTATTTTATTATGTGTAGGTAATTTAAATATTATTTTTTGAAAAAATAATAATAAGATTATATGTGGTGGATATCCGTAGTGGGCAACCGCACCCGATGGGGTGGGGGTGGATTTTGAAAAAGTCCACCCGATGCGAGTTGGGGTGAAGGTGGGTGGAGAAAATATAAGGTGGGTCGGGTGATGGATGTAGCCCTCCCCGACCAACACCCAACCCATTGCCATCCCTACCCTCGAATATATATACTATGAGAAAAGTACACTTTTGGTCCTATGACTATAGGAGGCGTATTAATTTCAGTACTTGACTTTAAAAAACTAACAATTTAATCCCGTAACTATTCAATTCTTAACACATCTGGTCCTCCAGGCCAAATCACCAGCGAGATTTGGCCGAAAAAGTATAAACTATTTTTAAATATTTACTTATGGGGGAAAATTGGTCATTTCAGCTCTTCCTTCTTCTTCCTTCTTGCACCGAGTTGTAGCGACATAGTGTGTGAAAAAAGAAAAGCTAATTAAGGGAAAGTAACCTCACTTCTCTAGTGAATAGAAACTGATCCTCCTAAGTGCTAGTGCTAACAACACTTTGTTGTGTAGTTTGTGTTGGAGTCATGTCCATAGTCATAGTTGATAACATCTTCCCTCCTTTTGCTTCACAAGTAACTTGCTTCCACCCAGTTCTGATGAAACCTTTGCCTTGCTTAGTGAGGCGATAACCCTTGTGGTTCACAACATCGGTTGGCACAGTAATATTGAGAAAGCAATTAAGGGGATAAGTTTGATTCTTGATATCACCCAAGATAGCAGTAATGATGGGTATGAAAGCCTGAGCGGCTAGTGTCAAGTCATGAAGACTGCTGTTTCTATGAACCCAGTCATATGATAGAGAGACAGAGGTAACGCCATTGACAAAAGCCTTTGCCGATTTCTCGGAGTCGGGAGCGCAAACGAGGACGTTGAAGCGATTAGTGGAGACGAGGATGCTAAGAGTGTCCACTCCGTCGTCGGTGGTCACCATTACTGTGGGCAGATTGTGGGAGTAGTAAACGCCGACGTTGCTCTCCATCGCAATTCGCACATGGGGATCGGATGAATGGTACAATTAACCATTCAGTTATGCGACCATCACTGCAACTCTGTGCAAGAAGAAGAATGAAGAAGAAGGAAGAGCTGAAATGACCAATTAGCCCCCATAATTAAAAATAGTTTATATTTTTCCGACAAAATTCGCGGATGATTTGGCGGGAGGACCAAATGTGTTAAAAATTGCGTAGTTACGAGACTAAATTGTTAGTTTTTAAAGTTAAGTACTGAAATTAACACGCCCTCTATAGTCATAGGACCAAAAGTGTAATTTTCTATATATACTATTGTAATCTATAAGGGGGTGCTTGGTTGGATGGAAAACATTTTCCATGAAAAATGTTTTCTTAAAAGTGAAGGAAAATGTTGTTTTATGTTGTTTGGTTGGATTGAAAACATTTTCCATTGGAAAATGAATTCCTCAAAGTTGAGGAAAATGAATTCTTTGCAAAGGGGTGGGCTTTTGTTTTCCACAAGGCTTGGAAAAAAATAACATGAGTGTATCGTCCCTTATGAAAGTTTTTTTTTTCTTTTTTTTTTTGAAAGGAGCCAATGCGGCATTTATTCAAAATACTCTGCGATAGAGTCTGGGGGGACAGAGTCCCAGTACATAGCAATAGAATGTGTAAAAGCAGACAAAACTATAGTATGAGCTAAATAATTATCCAATCTAGGAACATAATCAACTGAGCAAAAATTAAATGAGTCAATACTAGCTCTTGAGGCATCAATAGCATAACCGAGATATGACCGGATAGGAGCAATTGCAGACGTCAGATATTGTTGTAGTGTTAAGCAATCTGTGAACAGTTTTATCGATCGTTCCCCACGATCCCACAGCCATGACAAGACTTCCTTACATGCAAGTGCCTCGGCCATAAGCGGGGTGGTGCAGTTTGACAGCGGGGCACTGAACGCTGAGAAAAATTCTCCGTGGTTGGTGAGAATTATCGCCCCAACCGCACCTTTGTTGACATCGTGCTAAAACCCAGCATCGAAGTAACACATGTTCGGCCCTATAGATGTCGTCGCCTCGGAGTTCGGCATCGGTGGGGTGCGTGGAGCAGTAGATGCCTGGTGATGGCGGGTGAGCAGCCGGTCGTGCGCCGGCGTGGGTGGAGCGGTGTTAGGGGCAGCAGGCGAGGCAGCCACGGCAGGTGTGGTTCATTCGGGGTGCGCCTGTTTCCATGCTCTTACTGCCGCGATGGCCATAGCTAACACTCTCTGTGGTCGCTGTAGGCATGCATCCCATACGACACTGTTCCTGGCCTTCCAAATATAATATAGAATTGCCGCTGCATAGATCACCTTATCAGTGTCTAAAACATTCAACAATTCATTAAACCAATTGTGAAAAATATTTGTGTTATTCATGGGGATTGGAAGGTGGGATTGGTTCCAAATGGAACTTGCATAGTCACACAACACAAGGGCATGCATAGTGTCTTCATCCATGATCCCACATGGCACAAGTGGGAGTCACATATACTCTCTTTATAATCAAATTTCTTGTGGTGGGGAGAATATTGCTCAGGGCTTTCCACAAAAAAGTTTTTCATTTGGGTGGGACTTTAAGCTTCCATAGGTCAAGCCATTATCAAAGTTGTCCGGTGTATCATTATAGTTTCCAACTATCCGTCTATAGCCTTGTTTAACAGTGTAGTTACCTCTCTTATCTCCATACCAATACCACATATCCTCATACTCAGGTGCTACAGGTACTTTTAATATTCTAGTCACATATGTGGGGATAAAAATATCTGTTAAAATATATGGATCCCAAGCTCCAGTTTCCTGATCTATCAAACCCTTTACCGACGCCTCAGCCAAATATGGAACTTTTTCTGTCTGTATCATTGGATCATGCTCATCTAAGAGCCACGGGTTCTCCCAAATGAGGGTTGTTCCTCCATCTCCAATTCTGCGCCTGACACCACTACAGACCAGGTCCCGAGCTGCCATAATACTACGCCAACAGAAGCTGGGATTATTTCCTAGATTTGCATCAAAAAAGTTCCCCTAGGATAATATCTGGCCTTATACACTCTTGAGACCAAGGAATTTGGCTTAGTAAGGAAACGCCATGCTTGCTTGCCTAACATTTCTATGTTAAACGCACGTAATTCCTTAAACCCTAAGTCCCCATGTTTCTTTGGTACACACAATTTATCCCAGGCTTTCCAGTGAATACCACTATTATTCCCAAATCCCCACCAGTACCGATTCATGGCTTGTTCAATAGCCGTGCAGGTTCCCACAAGCAATAAAAATACATTCATTGAGAAAGTAGGCATAGCTTGAGCCACACTTTTCAATAAAACTTCCTTACCAGCCTACGATAACAACTTTTTATTCCATTAACCAAGTATTTTCATATATTGGGGTAATATTGGGGTAATAAGTAGAAATTGGGGTAATATTGGGGTAACACATAACAAGAAATAGAAAAGTAGCCTTTTCGTATATTGGGGTAATAAGTATACTGCGAGAGCCATCAAACAAAATATTATATGATATAGTAGTAACACATAACATAATGAGATCCACCCATCTATTGTCAAACCCCAGAGATAACAACATATTATGCAGAAAGGACCATTCCATCTGGTTATAAGCTTTTGCCATATCCAATTTTAAAGCTCCCCACCCTGCTATACCACACTGCTTTCTATTCAAAAAATGACCAACTTCAGCAGCTACCAAAATATTATCTGATATCAACCTGTCAGGTATAAAAGCACTCTGCGTATCAGATATAATATTTTCCATCAAAGACTTCATCCTGGCTGTTATCATTTTGGCCATTATTCTATAAATCGCATTACCTAATGCTATAGGCCTAAGATCAGTGACCATCTCAGGGGTGTTTTTCTTGGGGATCAAGACAATATATGTATCATTCAATTTAGCTGGGAAAGAACGAGTATTAAGGCAATTCACAATAAAATTCGACACATCTCCTCCCACCACATCCCAAAAATACTGATAAAAGCCCGGATTCATTTCATCCGGTCCTGGTGCTTTATCCGGGAACATGACAGATAACGCCACTTTCACCTCTGCCACCTCAAACGGGCGCAACAACTCATCATTCCGTGTCTGTGTTACTCGGGGCAAAACATTCTCAAAAAAATTTTCATCATTCCCAGACTGGCCAGAACTAAAAATATTACGATAATAATCCAGAATAACAGTTCTCATAGCCTCCCTTTCCACCCAATCCCTTCATTATTCATAATTTTAGAAATAGTATTCTTCTTTTTATGATGAGAAGCATACCTGTGATAGAATTTGGTGTTTGCATCTGCACCCTTGAGCCAGAGTTGCTTAGCTCTCTGCCTCCAGTATGTATCTTCCTGGGCCTCAATACGAGTGAGGCACTCTTCCAGTCACTGGAACTCAACTAACGATGCCTAATCTGTGCATCCTCGCAACTGTAATTGTTCTTTCCGGAGATTCATAGCTTACTCACCAAATTTATGGAAATGGTCACCTCCCCATCGTTTTAAGTTGTTTCCACATAAATCAATACACTCCTGCAACCCCCAATGCCTTTCTTGGTCCCACGTTTTTTCCACCACCCCCCCTGCATCCCTCATCATGAAGCCAAGCCATCTCAAAGCGGAACCCTCTTTTTCATCCATCCCTCCTCCCCCGAGGATTCAGAATCCCAAGGAAAATAGCAGAATGATCCGACTTTCGGGTTAAAATATTCAAAACACTTGCTTCTCTTACCATATTGTGACACCCCTGAGTAACCAACACCTTATTCAACCTCTCTTCAATCCAGTTCGCTGTCCCTGGCCCTCTTTCCCATGTATACGGATAACCCATCATAGGCAATTGAAGTAATCCACAATCATCAATCGTTTCTCCAAAGCCACGCAAGAGTGCATCTGGATGTGGGTTCCCTCCCCGTTTCTCATGCTGAAAAAGAAGATCATTAAAATCACCTATGAGAACCCAGGGCAGATCGGACCTGTGAGATAATGATTTGATGAGATCCCACGAGTCATTCCGCCTAGTTCGCTGAGGAAAGCCATAATATCCTGTCATTCTCCACTTATCAAAACCAGGAATACTTACCTCCACATCTACATGATTGTTTGAGTAACTCAACAACCGAGCCGTATTATTTGTTTTCCATAATAATGCCAATCCGCCACCTAGTCCAGTATTGTCAACATAAAAAAGACCATCAATACCAAGTTTGTTCCGGAGTCGTTCTGCGTGTTCCCGACCAACCTTGGTTTCCATTAAAAATACAAAATCAGGTTTCTTACAGGACGCCATGTCCACAACTTCTCGACACGACAGTTCCAACTTAAGGTACTCATGATGACGAGCGGGCCTGGGAATCAGCACCCACCATTAACAAGTTTTTTGACAAATCAACCATAGTAACATCATCATTCATCTCCTCACGGCACCGTTTAGCGACCGCCTCCACCACCATCTCGGCCTCACGGTGTACTTCTTGTGTTTTCTGTACCACCTGCGGCAGATAACCAGAACCACCGTGCCCAACACCAACCTCCGCCACCCCTCCCTCCCCCGGCACAAGCCAACCCTCCCCCACCGCCCTCGGACCACGGTGTGAACCCGCCCTCATCTCCGCCAAAAAAGGATATTCCGCAACCTGGATAGTTGCACTCCTAGCATGTATACAGAACTTATAGAGATGCCCAAGCAGTCCACAATAAAAGTAGAAATTATGGAGACACTCATATTAAAACGATACCCAGCATGTTGACTTATCTCGCTTAATAAACTTCATACGCCTTTTAAG